TGTTTAATCTCCATGTATTTGTGGTTCTTCCCACTTTCTTTTTACAGTTTATCTCCACCTTCAAAGCATTATGATCAGAGAATATGGTTGGTATGAATTCAACCCTCTTATATTTGTTGAGGCTGTCTCCATGTTCCAGTATGTGGTCAGTCCTTGAGAATGTTCCATGTGCACTAGAGAAGAATGTATAAGCAGCTGTTTTGGCATGAAAAGCTCTGGAAATGTCAATTATTTCCAGTTGGTCTAATGTGTGATGAAAGGTTGTTATTTTCTTACTGATTTCCTGTTGGATGATCTGTCTATATCTGACAGTCGGGTATTTAGGTCCCCTACAATGAGAGCGCTTAGGTTTGTTTCTCCCTTTGGTTCTGTTTGTAATTGCTTTATGTATCTTCTTAGTGCATGATTCTACTTATCATTATAAAGTATCCCTCAGTATATTTCTTTACATTTTTTATTTTGAAGTCGATTTCATCTGACATTAGTACCACTACTCCCACTTTTCTCTGGATACCATTTGCTTGAAATATCATTTTCCTCCCTTTCACTTTGAATCTATATTTGCCTTTGGAGCTGAGATGTTTCTCCTGGAGGCAGCATATGGTTGGGTTTTGTTTTTTGATCCAATCTGCAATTCTGTGTCTTTTTATTGGTGAGTTCAGTCCATTTACATTTAGGGTCATTATTGAAATATGAGGTCTAATTATAGCCATTTTATCTTTTGCTTTCAGTGTTTCCATTGTTTCCTTGTGTTTGTCCTTGTGTTTCTGTTCTCTTTATTTTGGTTGGCTTTTGTGGGTTTTTCCTCTGGTTCTTTTGGTTTTATTTTATGTACTTCAGTTCTCAATTTTTGGTGTGTGGTTATCATTATGAATATGTAAAGGATAGTTATATATATATAGTCGTGCATTTTCTTCTGCGCATGCCTTATCTCCATTCCCGTTTGCCATTTGGGATCTTTAAATCCTCCCCTTTTCAGTCATTGTTGTCTCAATTTGTCCCTATGTATGCTCAATGTTCATTACTATTTGCTATAGCAAATCTCCTCTTATTTTTAAGCTTATAATGCCCTGTTCCTAGTAAGAGTTGCACTCTTTTGCTTCTCTCAGCTTGCTAGTCACCTTACCCCTAATTATGTATTTTTTCTTTTTGTCATTTTCTTTTAGGTGAGCTGTCCCCTTTTAGTATTTCCTGTAGTGAAAACCTTGTAGTGGAGAATTCCCTCAATTTTTGTATGTCTGGAAAGGTCTTTATTTCTTCTTCATATCTGAAGGAGAGCTTAGCTTGATGCATTATTCTTGGCTGGTAGTTCCTTTCATTTAATAGTTTGAATATTTGATTCCACTCCTTTCTGGTTTGTAAGGTTTGTGCTGAGAAGTCTGATATAATCTAATGGGTTTTCCTTTATAGGTTACTGTCTTCTTTTCTCTGGCTGCCCTGAGAATTCTGTCTCTGTCTTTGATTTTGGATAAATTTAATACAATGTGTCTTGGTGAAGGTTTTTTTGGGTTGAGATAATTGGGTGTTCTGTTGACTTCTTGAATTCTAAGCTCCAGCTCATTCCTTAGATTTGGGAAATTCTTATCAACTATTTGTCTGAAAATGCTTTCTAATCCCTGTTTCTTTTCCTTACCTTCAATAATACCCATCATTCTTATGTTTCCTCTCCTGATGGTATCAGCTAGTTCTTTCTTTTCTTTTTTATCATTTTTCATTCTTCAGTTTCTCTCTTCTTCCTTCTTATTTATTTCTAGATTTCTGTCTTTGATATCACTGATCCTTTCCTTGGTTGACTCAACTCTATTTCCCAAGCTTGCTATTTCATTTTTCAACTGTTGCAGTGTGTTCTTCATCTCCAGAAGTTCTATTTGGTTCTTTTTGAGGGTTTCAATCTCCTTGCTCTTCTCATCTAGTAGTTTTTTCATTTCTTGATTTTTTTGAGGTGTTTTAGATCTCATTGAGTTTTTTCAGAAGTACCATCCTGAATTCTCTGTCACTCAAGTCACATATTCCTATGTCTCTTAGCTTTTTTTTCTGGAGATTTTTCTCTTTCTTTCTGAGATGCCTTGTCACCTTGGTTGTTCATGGTATTTAATGGACTATTTCTCCATCTGAACATTAATAGAAGTGCATTCTGCTGTTTTTCCAGAAAGATATATTATATAAAGGTCTCTCTTTAGCTTGTTGCAAAAAAGGTGCTTTTTTTTTCTTTTTTTTTCTTTTTTGGGTTTCCAGTAGGTGGCGTCTAAGCCTCTTGGATCTCTGCTTTATATAAAGTCTTAATAACGCTTTTTAAATTTTCTAATAGATATTTAATCATGCTCGCTACCTTCAATTTCAGTCCCTGTCATTGTTAGCGACAGTCTCAGCAGTGTTTGCTCAGATTCTCCTGGGGCTCTGTAGCTATTGGTCTCAGAGGGTATGCGGGGAGGGGCCTCTGGGTTGGGGGTTGGGGGCTACGGCTTATCCTCGGTTTTGCAACCACAGCAGCAAAAGTCAGCTGTTGTTCCTCTGTGGTCCCATCCCGCTTCTCTGCTTTCTGCCCTGATGCCTGCCTTGGAGCCAGCTGGCCACGGAGAGCTCACAGCTATCCCATGTAGGCATGTTCAGGAACCCACTGCTGGAACTCACCGCTCCTTCTCCCTTCCCCCTCCTACTTCAAAGAGCTCCAGCAGCTGCGAGAGGCAGCTTCTTTATTACTCCCAGTCCGCTGCCTGACATCCGGAGTTCTGACCTGTGGTAGCTCTTACGCGCAGATCCCACGCTCAGACGTGCTGGTGTGCAGTTTGGGTGTTTTTCGTTGAGTTTTAGATGTTCAGCTTATTGTTATTTCAAGGTAGAGATCTGGGAACGTCTCTCACTCTGCCATGTTTCCCTGAATAGTATTCTTCAAAAGTATCAAAATCATGGAAAGATTGAGAAACTGTCACATATTGGAAAGGACTAAGGAAGCATAGTCAGTAATGCATTGTGATGATATCCTGGATTGGATACTTGTTCTCTGGTCCTGAAGGAGCAAATGTTTCCTCTGCAGGACTTCTTATGTGGAAAGCAAAGTCTCAAACTCCCCATCAACTCACTCTCCACATTAGCGATGACTGCAACACTGAAACTCGGTAAAATGTCACTGGCATCAATCTAAAGCCAACAGGAGTCCCCAGTCTTGATGCAGTAAAAGGGTAAATTTTACTCATGTAAACAGTTTGCAAGCCAGGAAGATGGAGCCTCCTGAGGACATCAAAAGTACTCTCTCAGTATACACTTTTAAAAAAATACCTCCTCAGCCAAACAAACACTTTTATGTGTCTAATGAACACAACTATAACATTTCTTCATTACTCTCATCCATTTGACTCACTTCTCTCTGCCATTTCTAATTTTAAAAATCTATATGAAATTTCAAACATACTTTTGAATCATTAACAGACACATTAAGAAATGTATTGCACATTGAATTTTAATGATATATTTTAGTTTAAATCCACTGCTTTGGATTTATTTCAGTGTGAGGAAGATGTGGAAATTTAAGTTAGAAGTTATATTAATTACATAAGGGAAATAAAGGATTAAGTTTTGGAAAAGAACTGATCATTGAAAGGAAAGGGACTGAGATGAAAACTACAAGGCTGTATGACAATATAAAATAGCTGAAGAGATTATATGTTAAATGCTAACTTGTAATCAGAATGAGATATTGTACTATTATATTTGAGACTCATTTGACTCAGTTCTAGTTAAGAATGTGTTTAACAAAAATGTGTTTTATTCTAGTCAATGCTTTTGTCGTTATAGTCTTAAAACCTATTTTCTTCGTAGGCAGTGTAATAGCTCTTAGTGGAGTCACAAAATGGTATACAAAAAGGAAATTTGGTTACACTAATTCAGTTTTGTTCATTTTTGGCTTTGAAATGTGATAGAGATTGAAACTAATATCCAAATGTAGCTATCCTATATCTTTTATCTAGCCATATTTACTCTGCTCTGTTAAGAGCAAATAAAAGTTAAATACATATTTTCTCTAATGAATTCAGTGACCACAAGTTAATTATTTACAGATCTATCTTTAGTTTCTTATTTGGGGAAAACTTGAGGATATTTCTCAAATTGATTATTTAAATTCTTAATATATCCATAATAAAAGTAAATTTTTAATAAGCTGTTATTCTTCAATTATAAAAACAAAGTTAACTTTACCTGCTACTTGAATCTTACATATACTCATTTTTTTACATATTTGTTTCCAAATGCTTCCAAAAGGTTTACTCTCTGTACTTTAAACATCTTATCCTCTAATATGTATTTTTTAAATATTCACTGCACAGCAAATAAAAAATGTCTGTCAAATCTTCTTTCTGAAAAAGTAAGGGAGGAGGAAAAGTTGACCTGAGGGTGATAAATTTATGGTTTCCATAACTAGAAACTGCTTTGCAACTTTGTGTCCCAATTTTACTCTATTTAAATATTCTTTGACATTTCATATGGCTGTTAAATTTGAATTACATGTAAGTATAGCTCATTGTCTGAAATTATTTCATTCTAGGTAAACAGGATTATAAAAAAACCAAACCTATTTTACGAGCAACCAAATTAAAAGCAGAAGCAAAGAAAACAGCAATAGGCATAAAGGTACCTGTATTTGATAACTTTAAATTTTCATATATGCATGTCATTTTACTTTCTAAGCCTGGATTGCATAAATGTTTCATTCTCAATGTTTTATGACATTTCAAAATTTAAGTTTAATGCCAGAATCGAAGGTTTTAATAAAAAATTTACTTATTGGGAAACATCCTTTTCATATCCTGAGATTTTACCAGGTCTTAAAATAAAACAAGGTCACTCGTAAGAGCCAATTATACTTAAAAGTTGTAATTTATTTTTTTTCTAGCTACTGTATATCCATTTAAATTATTTATGTGCCTGAAAACTTTTATTTTCAATAAATTTTATTTCATAGTGGTTTAAATTTTAGTTGTAACTATATATACTTAGGTTATTAATATATATAAATTTACTTTGTATTATTGTTGTCTGTACTCTCTAAGATGAAATTTTAATGATGTTACTAAACTTGTTCTTTTCAAAAAATGCTTCAGAGGGATAAATGCAACTGAGAATGAAGTTACAATTAAATTCAACAAAATTACATTTATATTACTACCAATGTCAATTTTTTGCCAAGAATTTAGAGTAAAATTAAACTATAAATAGAAAAATTAACTTGGTGGCTCTACTGTCAAATGTGTTAAAGTGACTAGCACTTATATGTTATTTAAATATTAAAATGTTAAAAGGAGATTTTGATTTTTATCTGGCAGATGAAAAATCAGTTTTTCTAAGTTATAGCTTATTGCAAATGCCAAGGTATTACTACCAAGCTGTAACAGCTGTTGAACTGCCAGATGATATATTTGGTTGTCTTCCAGAATTTGCTATTATGATCATGAAACACTGCCTTCTTTTTGCTCCTGATTGCTGATTTTGATCAAGTATTGCCATGTGATGTTGTGTTTTCACAACACAATATCCTGTTTGTGCTGTGTGTCAGTTTTTAATTAAAAAAAAAAAAGTAAATTGCCTTTTTGTTTAAGATGATTAATATTTTGAAGTATTCTAATTTCATATGAAATTTCATCATCTTTAAAATTATTTCCATGACGTGACCTTTCTAAGAGCAGTGCTTAGTTTTTTGTTATTTTTCGGTTACCTGATTGTTGTCTCTTGTAATGAGAACATTATTTGTCATTTTCCATCAAGGCAGTATGACACATACATTCATCTTTCACAATGTGGGGTTTTTTGTTTGTTTGTTTTAAGAAAAATATTGGGATAGCAAACTCCATTTTTGGCACAATATAATGAGCAACTATAAATTAGAGTTTGAGAAATAGTGTGACCATCCATCTACAAATATATACCACTTTCTTATACATATTCTCTTTTTTATTTGCTCTTATAATTTTTGTCATTATTTTAATTTGAGGAAATAACTATGTTCTCAATATGAGATCAGGCTACCTTATAGTGCAATTATGTCTTTTTAAAAACAATGTAGAATTTGTTTATCTTTTTATGAGAAGAATTTTTTCATAGATTTCATTTACGATTTAAAGTTTGTATAGAAGAGTTTCTATTGACATTAGAACATAATTCCTTCTTAATAAGCTAGCATATCATCTTGGGGGAAAAAAACCTTAACTTTAAACATTGTTTGCTTTAAAATTTATGTGAAGAGTCCATGAAAATGATGTGGAACTTTTTAGAATCAGAACTATGAAGGTGTTTTACATTTTAAATCTGGCATACTAATTATTTTGCCATCAAACTTTGATTACATTGTCATTTTAGCATAAGGTTTTAAATAACGAAGTTTCTTTTAGCAATTGCCATTTAATGCTATTTAATTTCCCCAGTGGGTAATTTTATCCATATTGATAATGTCAGAGAAGCAGCTAGGGAGTAATGAGCATCAAACATGTTTCACTCCTATCTAGTTGATACAAGATGACCATATTAGAATATGTTATCATTTTATTACTTATTCTTTAGAATGAATCATAGTTATGCTCTTAAAATAAATTAAATCTACAAAAATATGAACAGCTGCATAGAATGGAAAAATTACAGCAATGACAACACTAAGCATAAAGTAAAGAGGCCTAGGATCAAATGCCTCTTGCCTCTTATTCTTACATGAGTTCAAGCTGGCACATTTGTATAATAGAGATTATACCATTTACCTTAGAGTGTTGTCAGGATAGTTAAAAAGTATAGTGAAAACACTGAACATTGAACCTAGCACACAGAAGTCATTTATGAATTGTTAGCCAATGAGAAAATATTTCTTTGAAGTAGTTATTACTGATGTGTATAAATAAGACTTTCCTTGGATGTTTGTCATTGGCCTGAAGATCCTAATTTATATGTAAATTATATAAATCTTAATCTTTCATTATTAATTTAGAAATTATTTATGTTATTAATTTAGAAATTAAGTACTACAGCATTATAAAATATATGGAAAGAAAGATGAATAAGACATGATCATCTCAGGGGAACTTATACGAGAAATCATTTCTATATTTCATTACCATGTACACTCAACAGAATTGATTGAGAAAATCATGCACTGGAGATATAAAGAATTATACAATAGGGTCTCTTACCTAACAAGCTTCTAGCATTTTTTTTAAATGTATATTTAGAAATAGAAAACAGTTTGAGAGAAGACTAATGATTTAGAATAAGATATAAATATGACTGTCAAAATATCAGATTAATTTCTATTGAGGAGCTTTGTTCTACTAATGTAAATAAAATGTCATAATTTATGCCCCAGTAATTAAATGAGTGCTACCTAAAAAAAATCTGTCCAACTAATATTTGCTATTTGGTTTTTGTTCAATTAGATTTTTTCAAGAATTACAAAATCACTAAAAGTATTTTTAAATTGCAGAGTCCCATGTTTCTTAGTATTTAGAAGGAAAAAGATAATCTGCATTTGTTAAACAATGAGTTAGTTTATTTTAAAAGTTTAGGTGAAAGGTAGAATCATATTAAAATAATAAAGATCAAAAATTAGGATCAAAAACTTAATTTATCTGTTAATAAATAAAATATTCAAATGTCATCCAGATCCTGCTAATAACCCCTTGGAATGAGCCAGCTGGGGACATTATTTTTGCTCTTTTTTGTTATTTCTGATCTAAAACTAAAAATGGCCAGGAGGCAAGGGGTGCCATATATGCCCACAGGTCTCTAAGGTATGATTAGTGTCACCAATATCCTGAAAGCAGTATTTTCAAATTTTACCATTGTTTTAACTGTCCAAAAATGCAGTCCATACAATGCTCATCTCAACAGAATAGAAACATTTTGAAAAAAGTGATTTGCTATACCTCCCCAACCAATACTTAAGCCCCACCACCATACCATATATTGACTAGACTTAATTAAATTAATGGATCCTCTGAAGTTGTATTCTATGAATATTCTCTGCTTCCTTCCCTTAAAAACTTTTTTCATGCCTCTGGATATTCTGAAAATGTACAGTGAAGATGATACAGTATTGTTTGAAAGGACAAGGGGTTGAAAAGTACCAATTAGAGGTGATTATCAATGAGATGAGCATCATGGAACAAAATCTTTATTCTTGTGTTAAGCTAGTGTGAATGATGACTGCTGTAGAACAGTTTTGTTGTCCACTATATAGAGCAGATGGATTTTGCTGTCGTGTGTTACTTGTTTATTACATTCTTTTAAAATTGGTAGCTATGTAACCAGATGGGTCTGGGAGCACAGCTGTGGAAATAAGAAAATAAATGAAACCTGTCTGATGCTACCATGCCCTTTGAGATGCCAAAGTGTTCCAACTGCAACAAAGAAAAATTCATTTTTATTTGACATTATATTAATATATTAGATTGAATAAATCATACCTTACAAAAATAGTTGACACTGAGTCATTCAACCAAATGGTTTTTATTAATATTTATTTACATAGTTTGGAAGTCTAAATGTAATTATGAAGCTAAAAATCTGTATAACATGTCCATTTGTAATTTCAACATTCAGGTAAAAATTGCACATTGATTATAAACTATATTCATTTTATGTTTTTAAAATTTATTGGCATGTGTTGAATTCTTGATTTTACATTCTTATGGAATGTAAAATGCATTCAGAAAATGCAAATAAATTGCTCCTTCATAAAATAATACCACAAAGGGGTTGATACATGAGTGAAAGTTAGAAGGGAATATTAAGTCCTTTAGGATACTTAACTGGCACTATTTGTTCTTTTTGCTATTTAACCAAATGATATGTTAATATTGAGGAATTTCCTTGATGATATGTATATATTTTAAAAGTTTATAGACTTTTTGAGGTATAATATGAATTATGTCATTCCTTAAGTAGTAAATTCTTGGCTATTATTTCAACATAATTGATTAACATATTCATATTAAATTACCAATAGAAATATCCAAGACCATCCTTCACTGTTGTGATAAATTACACTGTAACATGCTTCATGAGCTAAAGTACTCAGTTTTGTTCCACCACATTAAAATTCATGGAATTTAGGATTTAACAAAATAATATTTAATAAAGATGTTTACAGAGGCATAATCTAGAAACTGGTTATAATAGTTTCTTCCCATTAGAAAAGGAATAATTTTTAAAAATCTGTGTCTAAATGCTATAACTAATAATACATTTATTAAAGCAAGAAATAAAGTTAAATATAACCAAATAGCAGATAAACTTTGTAGTCATAAATGACATTGCTTACCCCAATATTTTGATATCCAAACTATGAAAATATATTAAAAGTATAAATGTTAATTTTACTATTAGAAAAACACAAACAAATTAAATAAAAATAATAATAGAAATGCTCACTCACTGGTATACTTGACAGTGCATTGGATATTATCAAGTACAAAATGAGTTTCTTAATGGCAAACGTGTTAAAAAGAATGTGAATATTAGATTCAAATTATTCATTCTAGGCTATGGAATTACATGCTCATTTTATCTGATGAAACTGATAATATTAACCAATATCATTTCCTTAATTTCAAGTCTACTTTTGTTTTTTTCTCTCAGGAAGTTGGCCTTGTACTTGCAGCTATATTGGCCCTCCTACTGGCTTTCTATGCTTTCTTTTATCTCAGACTCTCCTCAGATGTTGACCCAGATCTGGAGCCAGATGAAGATTAGCTGAGCAGCAGTCAATGCATGATACGGAAATGATTTTATAAAAGCACCTCTCGGGACCAATACTTTCTGAAGTACTGAAAGTACAACATCTTGAATTCTTTCTGCTGGTATTTTCAGTTTACAGAAATATCTTTTTAAATAGTTCTATAGAATATCAAGAAAAGAACCTTACCTAGCAATGTAATATAATGTATCTACTGAATACTTTTATAAATCTTCCTGCTTTGACAGGCAACCTATTCCTGGTGCATTTACATTAAATGGAAATCAGATCCTGAATTCTTTGGATGTTTTAGCTAATTTATGTGTAGAACTCCATTGCTTACAGATTACTAAATCAATTTTTGTTCCATATGTATCAGTAGTAAAAGTATATGCCTTTATTTACAGAATCATACTCAAATCACATTCAGAGCCTAAGAAAGAACAAAAAGTCATAGGAAATTTTTCATTTTACAGGGAAGTCCTGCTCTCTTTCCAGACGTATTTTATATCATTAGAGAAACTATCTTCACATATATCTACAGTAATCTTTTTCCTTTGCCAACTGTTCAGTGCACATGTGCACCATCAGAAATGGCACCTGGATGACAGAAGCTCAAAGAGTCACATATGTCTCTAAACTAGAGTTCCTTTTCTCTTGGGCTGTCTAAACTGAATAGAAAGTTTAGTTGATCTTGATTTTAATTAACTTATTGCTCTATTAATATAAACTTGGAAATCCATTTTAATTATGTTGTTCTGGCTGCTTATAGTATCAGTTTGCTCCTCTTGTTAGGGAGATATGTAACAAATTGTTGTTTAATTGTGCAGTCTTTTTCACACAAGAGTAATAGCAGAAGTCCTACCTACCAAGTAATTTTTGTGGGTTGTTTCTTAAAGACGAACGATACAAAGTTGTTTTGCAAAATTACATTTTGTTTCTTGAGAGATAATGTATTAGAATTCTTTCATTAAAAATAAATAGAAGAAAATATATGCCTCATATTACTTGCATATGTAGTTTTCTGTTTATATAATTTTTCAAGGTATTTTGCATTTATTGTAACATAATGACAAATATATTCAATATTTTTACTAGTAATGGAATTTTAAAAATATTTTTAGAATATATGAATACATAAAGGTTAGCAAATGGGAAAATATGTTCACAGCAGAGTTATTAGCTACTACCTTATACATTTATAGAAAATGAATAGATTGAAACATGTGCACAAGTGTTTTATAATATATACATTGTATTTATGAAGAGTAAATAAAACATTAAGGTTATTTCCATACATGTCAAGAAAAGAAAGCTTTGATAAATACCCAGCATATTCTTTGAGACTTTTGAAAATAGTTGAATGTGATTGTGTAGTATTACGTTCTGCAGAATTTTTTCAAATAGCATAATTTATTTCATCAGTATGAAAACAGCCAAAAGTTCCAATACTCTCACAAATCATTTATGCCAAGCAGCTGAGGGCAAAATTTAGACAGCGTTGTTTACTGGATGCTTCCCCTTGAAATCACAAACTCAAAAGATAGACCAAGAGTTCTTATACACTCACCACAGTGGACCAATCCAAGTGGCATTTTTAGGAAAGGTTACAGCATTTAATGCCATGTGGTATGTCTGTTTGTGAAGTGGGTGGTGAGGGAATATCCAAGCTGGCGTTTTGGATATGATGGGTCTTTTACTTTCCTGAGTGACATGCCACATGTCAAGAAATACTGCTTTCCCCACTCTTATCACATTTACGTGAACAATTTTCATTTAGTTATTTCCCCTCCCATACGATGTTAAAAACAGTCATATTAAATAGAGTTATTTCTAATTTCAGTGGTAATTTAAATAAGATGATATGTAATAATTGTTTATTAGCTACCAATTCAACTGAATTTACAGATTTTTTGTTTGTTTGTTTTTTTGTTCACAAATATCAATAGCAGCTTTATTTGTAATAAGCGAAAGCTGGAAAGAGCCCAAATGTCCTCCAACAAATAAATGGATAAACTTCGTGGCATTTCCACAGAACTGAATACCACTCAGCAGTAAAAAGGAACAAACAGTTCACACACACTTCTACACAGATGATTCTCAAAATAATTATACTGAGTGAAAGATGAATTTACAGTTTTTAAAATAGATGATTACACTCTTGGAAACGTTTAAACGTCCATTACTCTGGAAAAGACTACTATTCTGTTCTACTCTTGAGGTATTCTTTTGGGGAAAAAAATGTTTCTTTTACTTAAAATTTAAAATATAGTTAATATGCACTATGCAGGTATGCAACATAGCTATTCAACTAAAAATTATTTTTGATAGTAATACGTTACTCTAAATTTAGTATAATTATAAGCAAGTTTCATTACCTAATTTTATGAATACCCTGAGTTTATGACTATTCCATTTCTATGACTAACTTATGATAGCTCCAGACAACTGTAAGTCCCAAGGCCTAAACTCTGATTTTAATAAATAGCAGGTAACGTGAGACAATATATGTTTATATAACATTGTTTTCTTGAAGCATAAATTTTTCATGCTCACATTAACTGGGAAACAGCCAATCAATCCTCTGTAGAGAAATCCCAGACTGAAGTCTGGTTTCAAACTTTGAAGACAAGAGAGGTGATATCTAGCCTGCTTTTGAATAGTGAGTGGTGTTTGCCCTAAATCTGAGACTGGCACCAGACACAAATTTTAAGCAAAGGTTTTTCCCCTCCAATAATTGACTACTCAGAGTAATTCAGAAGGCAAAAACCAAAAAATTATAATGACTTTTCAGAATATTATAATCTATTTGTTAACATATTCTGCAGAATAAATTTCAACTAATTCAGCCGACTTAAAGTCGCTTATGTGAATAAAGTTTGAAGGGTTTGCATGCAAAATAAAGAATGTAAAATTCATTTGAGAGGAGATGTTGTAAAAATGTAACCTCATCTAGAATTTCTTTTAGAACAAATGAACAAAAAGCCTATCTTAGTACCAGCATAGGTTTATCGTTTTTAAGGTGGCAAAATACTTGAAGTTTTCTATCTTTTCAATTTTTCATAAATATGGAAGCAATATTCCCACCCAACCAATGACTATAAGATACTGAGAATATGTTCTTATTCATTTCTGTAACTCCAAGTATGTAGTGATCTGCACATATTTAATAAATGCATGTTAAAATTTAAATTAATATTTTTTAATCCTCGGAGTCTGGCACAGATTTTTGCTTATAGTAGAAAATAAAAATTATTAGCACTTAATAAATAAAACTTAAAATCACTATATTCATCAACTCAACATTTAGCATTTATGGTCTTTGGTTATATTGAGACATATATATGTTTTATCATGGTCCTCTTTAAGATAAAAACAACTAGCATTACATTTACAGCAGAACAGATGCATTGTTCTTTTTTAGGAAATCAAATATGCTATTTTTATCTTAGTATTGTTAAAAAAAATACCATATTTTTAATATAACAGTATACATCTTCATTCCCAATGAAAATAAAACCAAATTTTTATTATAATGTTTATGTGAATACTAAAGCACTGTATTTTCCATATTCTAAAATTTACAGTCAGTGATAATTCAGTAAAGCAAATTTGCTTTAGATAAACATCAGAAGTCAGCTTCTATAAATTAAATTTTTAATTTTATATATTTCATTCATTACAAGGTTGTTGAGTCAAGACTGTTTATTGAAATTAAGTTTTTTTTTTTCCTCCTTACCAACAAATTAGGTTTCTTTACACTTACCTGAGGCTTCTCTGTGGAGATTCCTACCACCTTTAGCAGCACTGCCTTCTTTTATTAGAATCGCTCCAGTGCAGCCTGGATAGAATGATGTTTGCTAGATTTTATTTCATTGACACCATATCTAGAATCAGTGCAACCCACAGTAAAAAATTGTAGCAGGTGAATTCAGTATCTACGTAAACATTCTAATGATTTTGTACAGGTTTTGGCTATACAGGTAATTATGGGGGGAACCAAGAGAGTCACTTAAAGAACTGTACCAGTGTGGAAATATTTATAATGAGTCAGTAAATTCGTTTAAAACAATTGAACTGCTGCAGTATTCAGCATTGTGCCTGTTAAACATTTTTTTTTTTTATCAACAGCACCAGACATGAGATACTATTTCTAGAAAAATAAGATACTTTAAATGCCAGAAGATTTTTTGATGACAGTACCTCCCCCTATTCTTCATTTTTTAAAACAACAACCAAGTTGGTGGGGAGGCAGCCAAAATTTGAGGTACCAATGCTTCTCGAACAGATGTCACACCATTATTTTTTAGCTCGTTTGGATGAATAAACATGTTAAACTGTGAAGCATTACATTTTAGATTTTTTCATTAAAAAAAAGAGACAATCTGTTTACTGTCCTAATTGAGACAACAATCCTGTGGTTGCCAGTTTTGGCAGTCATAACAATGAACTATAAATATTTGGACCAACCAAGTAAATGGTGACTATAAAGGCTATAGCATGTGTAAAGTTCTGTTTTCATGGGCACCCATATTAGTATGGCATTTTTTTCTTGACTTCTTCAAATATCATTGTTTGTGTAAATCTGAAGTTTCATGGTAAGACTAAAAGAAATTGATTTCAATATCTAATTTCATTCTAGTTTATCATCCTTTTTAGTGTTCAGCTATCTACCTGCTTATAACAAATTACTTCTGCAGTTGCTCTTTTGAATGCGACACGGCAAGTCTTCATTGGATCGCGTACTTTGTACATCCTAGAATAACACAAAATTCAGAGATTTTTTTTCTGTTTTCATATTTATAAAGTGAGATTAAAACATTTAAAAGCCTCTTAAATGCCAGCAATTTGGTTTTTAACAGTAGGCTTTATAGTTAGACAATAGTGAAATGTAACTCTTGCAGTGATGGTCATGAGAAGGTCATGTTATTTTATGCTTTACATAAAATAACAGCATGGGAGAAGTTGGTAAACCAAAGAGATATAATCTAGACATAAAAATTATTTATTACTCTAGTTTCCAAACATTTGTAATCCAGATAGCAAGTGCCCTTCTAGACATCTGATTTGAGTGCTCTTGCTCTCTTCTCTTACTCCTCACCTCCTCTTCTGTCCTGCTCAATCCTAAATTCTAGGCAATCTCTAACATTCCCTTTCTCAGTGTTTATGAACTTCACTTCTATTTTATCATACTTAATTATGTACTTACTATATCAACTGCCTCTACTTTTTTAGTTAGAATTATCATTGATCCTCACCTATTTTTCCGCTATCTCTTACTTTTTACCTGCTTTCATTTTTACCTATCACTAACAACCTGCATTACACAAAACTAGAGAAACTAGTATAATGAATCTCAGTCTACCCATCATCTAGTTTCAACAATTACCAATATATTGCCACTCATGTATATTTCCCCCATTTTTTTTTGCAACCTGAAGTATTTTAAAGCGAACCTAAGAAATGGTGACATTTTACGTATAAATATCACAGTATACATCTCTGACAAGAACTTTGGTGTTTTGTTTGTTCGTTTGTTATGTTTTTTTTCCCCTTGCATTACTAAGAACCTGTTATTATAGCTAATAGAACTAAATAGTTATTCCTTGATATAATTTAATACCAAGGCTATTTTCAAATGTCCCTAATTGTTTCCAAGATGTCTATTTATAGTATGAGATCTGTACTACATTTGGTTATATGTCTCTCACATTTCTATTATTTTATAAGAAACTTTTTTTTCATTCCATCGATTTATTGAAGAAACTAAGTTATTTGTTCTTTTGAATGTTCAACATTTTAGATCTGGACTTTTTCATCATTTTGTTCATGTTAGTCCTCTACTTTCCCTATTTTCTGTAAACTAGGAGTTAGATTAGATCCAGACAGTTGTGTTGTTATTTGTTTGTTTTTAATGCTGGAATATTTCATAATAGTTAATGAGACACATAATATCTGATTGTCTCACTTATAGTGATGCTGAAATTTATC